TTCCAGCAGTATATATATTATTGGATGTAAATTACATTTATTTGTATTAATTTTTTTCTTGGAATAGTTAATGCAACTTAAAGTTTTTATAATCAAAGATATAAGAAATTTTAGCGTAGTCTTCATAATATATCTGTTTTGTGCACTATTAATAAAACAATTTTACTTGTGTTTTAATTTATTCCATTACAAGTGGATCTCGGGCCGAGATTCGCCAAACAAATTTACATTTTTCATCTCGCCTGTCAATTTACCTTCGTTTAAAGCAAACTTGTACCTCGTTACAATTACTAATAACTAATTATTTACACACATACGAACACGTTTGTGGATCAGACCAATGTCACTATGAACAGTGCATGACTCGCTCTAGATGTATTAGCATGTGTGATTCACAACACAACTTGAATGAAGACGGGATAAGATTTAAAAATCGATAACGGTAATTGGTTCGCAGAGGGCGTGTGATTAAAGTGCTTCCTATTACTCCGTAATAAAAATTTGCTCCCGGACATATTATGATGGTGAAAAATAAAGAGAAATCCAATCAGAACGGCGCGGGTGGGAAGGAGTGGCGCGAGCGGAATGAGCCTCTGCTCGCTGTGCCTGAGGATGAAAGGTGAGTCGGCGAGCCTTCATTAAGCACACTATTAGTCGATAAGCGCTCGATCAAACAAAAACAAATCGGCTTGTAACCTTACACCCACACGATTGCAGCTTTAAATTTAATTCTCCATCTTTCACTGATCTTCTTATTTTACTAGTCTTATGTATGTTGCGTAACATTAACAAAATGTAATATACCGTCGTCATCTTCTTGACGGAAAGATAACCGAAGCCCAGCAATTGCTCGACAAGTCCTAACTTATTATCTAAAACCAGACAACTACCTTAACATTATTACGTCACTAAAATTCTCGTTGTACCAGCATAACCGCTTATTTTAGAAGATTGGTCGCAAATCTAATATTTATGACAAGCATATTTAACATTTACTTATCAATATTAGCAAATATCATCATAATTGTAATATGAGTCAATATTAGTTCCATTTGTTTGCTCAATTGATCCTAAATAGTTAATTATTAGTAAGTAACCTAAGTCTCATGAGAACAATGGTTTAATTAAGTCATTTAACGTAATGAACAACCATTTTTAGCTTCGAGCTTCACGCTTAAAATAAACAAAAAGCAATCTTAACCTAACAACAAAAAATAGCCCTGGCATTGTTATTACTTCTATTTAAGTTTTTCGTTACATAATGAAAATCCAATCGGTTTCAGAGAGCATCCCCCACACTCACTGCCGCGGCTGAGCGTCGTTCTGCCTTGTAGCAGCACCTCCAGCGTCGACCACGCACCGAACAAACCACGGAGCCCTCTCTCACACGGCGAGTGAGTCTATACTGATAGCTTACATAAGCCTCAACCTTCATCAATAACATGGAATGTTACACAAGTTAATATCAATATAGCTAGCTAAAAGTGCAACCCCATAGAAAGAATTGGATGTTTTTTACGTTATTTTAGTTATTTTCCACTAAAATAACACTACGTTAAAGTAGTACTACTATAAAGTATGAAGGCACTCAATCTATCGCATGCAGGTCTATTTAGATATTTCAAACAATTTCCGCTGAATAATTTGTACAAGCTGAATCAGTTACACGAAATTCTGTGCATTTGCTAAATTTAATGAAGAATTTCAAATTTCATCTGATTAATTAAACAGTTTTGGAATAATTATCGTTAGCTGCAGGTGTGTGTGCACTGAACGTACTAATTGTTTCCATATATCATTTTGTTTCAGTGAATCAATGACAGTGGTCTTGTCAGCGTTTTACGCTAAGCTACTGATAGTTTTAGGTCTTGCACTGCCGGTCACCAGCACTATACAGAATGAACTTGTTACAAACGTTACCTCAGATGTAAGTATTAAGATTTAGAGTAGGCGTGCCACCTTGGACTAAACTATCGGACAACGGTTATGTGATTGTCGATTGTTTCGCAGCCCATTCAACTGTTTAACTCAATCTCTATATAAGATCATAGGAATCAAAGCATGACTAAACAGTTGTGCGATACTTTAGTCAAAGTCAAAAAGGAAAGAAGGCGAGTAGCGAATCAAAGATTAATATAAAAAATTGAAATCACTTTAACTTAGGTTGCGATGATAAAGAGATGGGAGCATTTGACATTTCAACATATTCTTTTCAGATATTCACCATGTATTTGTATATTGTTAGTATGCTCTTTTTGGGTTACACATTTTACCATTTGAGCAAAGTGAAGAAAAGCAAAGGTAAGTATTTTCATCTCTAACATACAGAGTTTTATCATATTTTAAAATACTCCGCATAAATTATGTATTTTTCTTACAGTTAGTGTGAAACGGACGCGATACGGAAGTTTTTACCTGCATATAGGAGTAGCAGGTTTTAGTGTTGGCTCCATTATCTACTCCTGCCTACAGATCGCCGAGTATTTCGACCTGTCCGGAGATTGCCAGATAATTATGATCGCGTTAAAACCGACTCTGCGAATCTTATTTATGGTGGCACAAAGTGTATTTATATTTTCCTACACAGACGTAAGTAATACATTTTTAACGACATTTTTGTGGTTAAAATGGGATTCATATATTTTACTTTAACAAAACATTTTAATACTTAGAAAATTCATCTGATTTAAGATAAACATACATATTTAAAATTTTACCAATTTTACAGATATTGGACCCAATGCGCGGAGTAGTTCTTGATAGATTCGGTTTGATGCATTTAATTGCTACAAATGTTTGCGAGTGGCTTAACGTTATCATACAAGAGACAAGGGATGATATTATTGCTGTTGCATACAACAGTCCACCTTTCATAAGATACACCACCATCGATGAACCAACTAAATCTTCCATAGCAACTGATGAGGCAAACTATTTTGATCAAGATTACAATAGTACAGATATGATTGAAAATATAACAATATCTACAGATACTTGGAGTTGTAATATATCTGATATAATAACTCCTTTAATTAGATCTGTAAATCCGTATCTAAGACCTTGTGGTGTTGAGTACAGCCTTCTTTGCTCAATCATAATAGTTGTGATTTGGAACGACCTTTGCACCGTACCTGGATCGGTAAGGAATCTTATATCGTTTTTTATTTAAACTTTAATAGTAGTCGTGTTGTTTTTTTTTATAATGTGTCAGTGTCATCGTTGTACAAAATTGAATATGAATCGCACAAATCTGATTACATTGTCCGACGCAGCAATGAAACTGAGTGGACACATTCAGCAATGATAATTAAGTTAAACACGGTAGCGGAGATAGGAGAATGCAACACTCATTCAATTATACTTTCACGTATTACGAAAAAATATTTAAATATAAAAGACTAGCTATTGCTCGCGAATTCGCCCGCATGAAATTAAAAGTAATAAAAAAACATAGCCTATGTTACTCACGGATAAATTACCTTTCGACCGGTGAAAAAATGTATGATATCGGTACAGTAGCTTTTGAGTTACTTCAATACATACAAAAATCTTTTCTATTTATAATATTAGTACAGATTAATTCATTCATTTTGTCTTGACTTGTCAAAATAATCAATGTATAATTATTATATTCGAAACACGTTATTTAAACTGGAACAAACGAAACCTAATAACAAATTAATCATAGCTCTTTCACTTGTATTATTTTAACAACGAAATATATTTTTTTTTAATGTTTGTTAAGCTAGCGCTTGACCACGATCCCACCTGAAGAATGTGACGATGCAGTCAAAATGTAATTGCGCTAGCTTTAAGTAAATAATGTAATAAATGAATTTCAGAAACCTGGAAACGATGTCAATTCAAACGGGGTTTACACAAAAGAGGTGAAGCAATGCTGCGCGAGAGTAAAGTCCAACAATCACTTTTCCGTAGACTGCGGCAGCGCTCACAAGGGCTTGTTCATGGGTATAGCGGTACTAGCAGGGACCGTTGTGAGCCTCATGCTCTTCAATGGACTCTTTCAAAAGGACAAACACGTTGAACTTGCTTTATTACAGGTAACACGTCGGAAGGGCAAGTCAAAAGTGATCCTAATATTTTTAAAATTCATCAAAAACAAATGAAATCGCTAAATGACATTTAATTATTTACATTTTATATTTTCAGATCAATATATGGGAGACAGTTCTATTTGTTATCATGACTATAGGCTCTGGAGCTTGTATTCAGAGAATGCGTTTATTGACATTACGCAAAATATCTACCACGATGCCTCTGGAGCACGCGTTGCTCCTTGTCACCCAATGTGGAGTCTACCTTTATTATCTCTTTCAAATTATAGGAGCCGGCTTCCTTATTCAAAGATATCCTGAAGGCCGACGAGCGACAAGGCAAGTTATTTTTAAATTAATTTAAGTTATTTTCCTACAACACACACACCAAATTTGCCAACAGTAAATAGGATCATCCTCTTCATATTAATTTTATTTCATTTATAGGATAATAGCACCACTATGTGCAGTTATACAAAGTTCGTGCCAGTCCTTGCTGGTGCTAGATGCGTGGTCGCGGCGGTGCGCGGGTGCGAGCAGAAGGCCCGGTCGGCAGCTGGTGACATTCCTATTGGTCGGCAACTTTGCACTGTGGCTGCTCAACCGTGTAAAAAACGCGAGAGCAGAATACCATCCCCTACAAGTAAATTCTTCTTCTTTCGTCAGAAAATTTAGTTTTGACGGTTTACTTCACTCAAATATACCTAAATAAAACATTTTTTTGTCTTTTACAGATGGAATTTTTCGGAGTATGGGCATGGACATTAATTACGCATGTGTCGGTGCCACTTTTAGTTTGCTACAGATTTCAAGCTACGGTTTGCTTCTACGAAATTTGGAAGAACTCGTATAAAACGAAAAACTATACCAGTAGCCGCGACGATAATGAATTCGAACTGAAAAACCATGTAGCTTAATAATAATAAATTTCCTTCCTTTTCAATTTTTTTTATTTCTCTTGGCAAAAGAAATGCTACGACTTTATTATTATTGCAGTTTCCTAAATCCAAAAGCTTTAAACAAGCGTCTTATACATTACCGTTCGACATTATCTTACTTGAAGGATTTTTTTGCATAGTTACTTTTTTTATTACTGGCTAAGGCATTAAACATTTATAAAACAGCAACACTAAATTGGACTTGAATACGACTGGCTGTCAAATTAACATCAAAGTTCAAAGCTGTCATTGTCAAATAACATCTATGAAATTACTAACAGTTTATTAACATTTTAGGACCATAAAACAAGGTAATTGTAAAAAACATGGCATCCGCAATGGATATTGACGAAGACGAAGTCGAAATGGCTTCTTCAAGCAGTAGCAAAGGAGACAAGAAAAGATTTGAAGTAAAAAAGGTAAAGTCATCATTTGCACCCAATAATTTTCTTTGTTGCTATCACTCTTTGTTTTTATAAACAAATAAATGATTAACTGAAATTCAATAAGATAATTCTAATTTCAGTGGAACGCCGTTGCTTTGTGGGCTTGGGGTAAGTTTGAAATAATCGATTTGGTGTATAACCTATAAGTTGTATTCACGAAATTCTTTTAATAACTAAGTCTAAGTTACTTGCAGATATTGTGGTGGACAACTGCGCAATCTGTCGTAACCACATAATGGATCTTTGCATAGAATGCCAAGCGAATCAAGCATCTGCTACCAGTGAAGAATGCACAGTTGCTTGGGGAGTTTGTAATGTAAGTATAAATGTGTGTTTGTTATGTCAATAATAACCGAAACCCGTATTATTAAATTTAATTTAATATTTGAGATTTAATTTATACAAAAACTAATATATGTTAATAATAAATATGGTCCATTTTCACTTTCAATGAATTTTTGTCTAATGTAGATTTTGATGCAGCTTAAAGACTTCCTTTAGTTTAGATTGTCATTAACATTGTATTCCAAAATTATTTTTCAGCATGCATTCCACTTCCATTGTATTTCACGTTGGCTCAAAACTCGACAAGTGTGTCCATTAGACAACAGAGAATGGGAGTTCCAAAAGTAAGTTAATTGAATGAAACTTTGTAACCATCATAGAATTTAATGTTATAAAACATTTTAGCATTTGATGATCAACAAATTGACAAAGAATCCTCCAGTCCGCTCCAAAATTAAAGAGAGTAAAATCAAAATATTCAAGACATTCTGATATTATTGATTAACTATTGTTTCTTGTGTATTTACAGGTATGGCCACTAATTCTTACACACCACTTAACAATCTCTCACCCTAGAAGTGGTCTCCAGTGTAATTTGGCGTAATGTGTAACTTTTGCATTAAGTTTTTAATAAACCAACTGCGAGTACTAAATTTTTTTGTTATTAATTCTGACAATTTATTGTAAACTAATAATTAAAATACCATAAAAACAGTAAATATTCAACTTGATTTCTTACCTTTAATTTTGCATTAAATAAGAACATTTTTTTGTGTGTCTGTCTCTTTATTCCTCAATATAGACCCATCCCTATTATTCCATGGTCAATTTGAAACAAGGGACAAAGAATGACATCGTAAACATATTTTGTTTATTCAGCATCACTGACAGGACCAGAAAAGTGACAAATACCAACTTCAACATGTGTAATAGCCTCACTGGCGCCAATTTGTCACATTATTCCAGTGCTGATTAGTACTATTGGCATAAAGACTCATCAGCTAATTCACGTAATATTTGAGAAACAAGCAGGGTAAAGTTGAAATTAGAAATGTTTTAAACGTGAAAAAAAAGAGGAATGTTGAGAGAATTTTCTTACAATAGTAATATGGTTGATAAATCAAATACGATATAACTATTCCTAGTTATCATTTGCTCTATAGGTTTCCAGTTGTAAGCTAATAATTTGAATTCATTGTCGTACTTATCAGGGTTTTTAAAATAAAATCGTTAAGTCATTTGTTTCATTCAATCGAATAATTGTTTATTTTTGATAATCATGATCCTTTAAAATGCTACAAACCAAAAGGTGACATTTATATATTACGTAAGTATATTACTTTTTCTGATATCTAATATTTGAGGAATATTCACCAATGGTTGAGCCAGAACTAGCAGTTATGTACAATCGGAGAATCTGGCGGTGTTCCACCTTAAAAGCTAATCACTTGAATGTAGTATACCCATTGAGACACGGAACAATAACCAATAGGACATAGCTTTTGTATTTACTAAAAAGGTCGGTTTTGTCATCTCAGAACTACTAGGTTATTTGTAAGAGAGTTTGTCTTTAGAGGGACGAGGTAATTTTTCGTAAGTGGGACACCGCAGATTTCCGAGATTGTACATCAAAAACGAGTAAAATATACTATTACAATGTGAGAAATACAAACAATTATTCATCATTAAAATCATTGGTAATGTCCTAACTCCTAATCAATACAATGGCTGTACGATGCGGCAGTGTTCAAGCTAATAAGTACCTATAACATGGAAAAACCATATTTTTTTTTAAATTTTATTTATTATGTATTAATATTTTTTTCCTAATTTTGTCATTTACATACCAACAAATGGAGATCGAATACTTCACTAAAAGTAACTTTGAAGCCGGAATTACATTTAATTCATAACACGAAGTCATGGGATCCATCAAACTACCTACATACTAGACATGCGAACTTATATTTATATAATCATACGAATTTACAATAACAATATGCCTGCATTTCAAATAGTCACGATTTAAGTATTCCCCCTTTAAAAGTACATAGAGAAATGTAGTTGTGATCTATGATTTTTTTGTTCCTGCGCTTTATAAGGCGATTACATATTTGAAATGAAATAAGTTTCATACATATATCATTGTTTAATTCATACATATATTAGTATGATATTTCAATAGGTATGAAAAATATTAAAGCTAATAACCAAAACCTAGTGTCTATATTTAGACAAGAAATAATGTTAAATGTTATTTAACTAGGCTGGTAAATAAGGTGTACATAAATCACAATAATTTTTCTAACTTCTGGGTATTATTGCTTTGTTTAAAAACATAATACTCAATAACAAATTTACATCTAAAACTAAGTGGGATAAAGTCATTATTGTAATACCTGTACTGCAAGTCTCCTCAAAAATCTATCAGTCCTGGCCTAGGTGACATTAGCCCTTCAAGAGGAACTTCCAAATTTAAGTCAAAAATTTAAAACCCAGAAACGAGGCAATAACCAATAAGAATCCAGCATATTTACATGATATTAACATTTCTATCCTGTGATTTATATCAAAATATCTTAATACTAATTACATAATTGCTTGTTAGACAGTTCCAGATATTACCATAAGTTTATTTATAAGCGTAAAATACATGGATCGCGTAACTCGTACATGTCAAACTAGAGTAATCCCGGCGAATCACTAACATTACTACATACATTATTTATAACGTGGTTACTGAAGTCTCCTGGATCTTATTACACCACAGTAACATCTGCGGCACTAACTACAGACCTAAACACGAACAGAATTAAATATAACATCACTACAACAGTGAAATGACAAAATTAACAAAATTTAAAGGAAATGTTCAATTAAACTCCAAATAATGGAATTCTATCCACACATTAAAAACAAACATAAAACATGCAAATAAATTCATTTCTGATTAATACATTTCACTAAAAGGTCAATTAGATAAAAACAATTGAGTGCTAATGATGTAACACAGTTTTTACATATTTTTGTAATAAATATCTTGGAATTATCACTTTAATCATTCTGATGCCTATCACACATTATTCAAATATGAATGTTCACATCACAAAATAAATACTAGACGAAATAATCCTAGTCAGTATCAATTAAACTAATAATTGAATATAGCGGTGGAAATAATAACTATAAGGTAGTTGCGGCTGTCAGTCCGCCGATATTGCGTTTGGAATATTTATAGTTCGACTCTCATTGCCGACAATCAGCCGCAATCTTTTCATCGGAGGCAGAGGACGGATTGGACTATGTTTACGATGTCGTTCTTTTGATCGTCTACGCTTCTTTAAACGGCGGGCCGTTTCAGGATCTACGCCCTCCAGGCGCAACACTTCATATTCTGGTTCATCTGTTGTACCACCACAATTCATTACTTCTTCAGCTGGGCTACGTTTCATTCTCAGAGTTAACTTTAATGTTTTTCTTTGTGGTGGTGTACAGGGACACTCACTGCTTTTATTTGAGTTATCTGCAAGTCCAGACTCTGGTTCCTTTTTTACCTCTTCAATCCTATGAGAGATATCAACTTTGTGTTTGCTTATTGTAGTATCTGTAGATTCACTTGGGTTTACATTTTCTCTAAAGTCAAATATTTCTCTTTTTATACATGTCTCATCATTCACACATTCAACTTTGTTCTGTTCTTTTCTATATGAACTATCATAGCATTCTTTCTTTATTGTTAACATAGAAGTACATGATTCAGCTCTTTCCAATAGAGATTCTTTGTTATCGTTACTGTTTTCTGTTTCTGTATCTGCTTTACTAATATTACTAGTCTCAGATTGGAAATTATCTTTAAAAATATCATTATGTAGTTCTTGTTTAATTTGTATTTTATCTGTATCTGTATAATTAGGCAATTCTGTGTCTTGTTTAGGAACAATATGATTTCTTCCATTTTTAACTTCTGTGCTATTCTTTGAACTATTTCTAACTTTTGTACAAGGGGATTGAGAATCAATGAGGCGTTTATGACTTCGTAAAACTATACCAGTATGGGAGTCACAACTGCTCCGTGAACTAGTTATACTGCAACAACGCGAAGGTTGTTCATGAAGCTGTGATGCAGTGGCAGTAGCAGAAACACCGTTATGAGCACGACCACTGTCGGCCCTTCTTCTCAAACGTTCACCTCTTCGTGAAGCTGAAGATTCTCTACTCCCTTGTGATTCTTTGTCACGGGATCCATCAACAACATCTGCAATACATCCTTGAGCTATTAACAGTTCAGCATCATATTTTGTCAATCCTTTTTGCTTCATTTCCTTCATACTAAGAGGGGAAACAATATTAGAAACTTGTCTGTTTGATATTCGAGCCTTTTCAGGAGGTTTCCCGTTTTCTGGTTTTTGTGTTAACTTAGCTTTTGTCCTATTTATTCTATTATCAGTTTCTCTAAATCTATATCTTGTAGCTTCCTCATCATTGTGTCCATTCTTTACTGAAAATGCACCCTTACCTCGTCTTTCACAAGTTTCACATTCACAATAGCAATTCCCATTGCCAAAAAAGTCTTCACCGTAATAACAAGTAATTTCTTCTCCAACCTCTATATCCCTTAATACACGAACAAAAGCTTTGCCACGATCTGTGGCTTCAAAAGTACATGTTGGCCTACAATCATGATTAATGTATGCAGCTGGTCCAAGCCATAACTGAGCACAATTTTTTCTACAACTGTACATAACAGAAAAATCATTTTTTCCAGGATGTAGCAGCTGTTTTTCTTCTTCTTCAGTCATTTCAGCAATACATCCAACGAGAAAGTCAATCCTTTCATGTTTGAAAAACTTCTTAGTAGTTGAAATTTTAGCTCCAACTCCACCTTCTAATGAATATCTATAACATGGTTCAATTACAAATCCAGCCTTTTTGTCGAAAACCCTCAGATAGCGATAAATCTGAAAATTAACAAAACAATTAAAATTTACAGTAAAAAAAAGAATCACCAATAGTAAGTTTTGTTTACTAACATGTTCTCTGAACTTGTTTTGTTGATGTTTGTTTTTTGTGAAATGTCTTGGCATCCATTCTCCATTTGACAATTTGTTGTATGCTTTATTATAATCCTGTGTTTGAATAAATTCTTTTATGATACTTTTTAATTCCTCTTTATTAGTTTTTAATGGTCTGTAACGTATGTTCATCTTATGTGTTGTGATGCCAAGATATGGATCAACTATTAGAGCTGTTGCTAAGTCGTCGTAGTCCGAAAGCTCGCGGGGAGTCATACCCATCGGCTGCATTTTGTGAAGCACTTGCCTCCCAGGGTATGATGCCGACCCAACAACCATCCTGATTACCTAAACAAAGACGCGAAAGATTTCGTAAAAACAACATAACTTATACACAATTATAACGTTGTTTTTGGAATTTCACATTGTTATTTATTAATATACGATTTATGTAATCGAACCCTTGTATCATACACATAACTAGTAAATACAGAAAATTATAATTCTATAAAAGAGTAAAATTTAAAAGGACAAATATGGCGGCCGATCACTAATCTTAAAAAATCGACACGTCAAATTTTCACACTGTTTTTCACATAATTAAATACACTGATCACTAAAATACTTATATTACCTCAAAGAACAGACATTCGAATATCTTATAAACTTACTTATTGCGTTAAAACAACTCCAAAGTCATATTTATTTCCAATAACAACTCTGCTATATCGAAAGCATTCGGACGCTTGAACGGATAGGTTATTAACAAATTTATCAAAACAAAAACTCAGTTTTAAATTTGCATTTTATATTTCTATACATATAACTCAGATTATTAATAAACAGCATTAACTATATTTGAAAATCATAAAGAAAAGCTGAAAAACAACCATGTTTTCGTACACTTCATTCATATGTTAATGTTTTTACAGATTATTAAATACCGTTACTTGGTTTAATTAAAAAAGCATAATTTAATAAAAATGTTAGAATTTTTAAGATCTTTATACGCAAACTTAATGTTAAGTATTTACGATAAGGTAAGTAATTATTTAAAAATATTTTATTAAGTTACTCAAATAGTTTTAGTAACTAATCGAGGACGCACTCCGTGAACTATTTACCATAGAGTATTTAACAGTTACTGTCAGTGTCAGTTGTCATTGTGAACAAATATTGATAAAATTAAATTAGAATCAAAGGACTTATAGAACATGTGAAAAGCTGTACGGTACACTTTATACATTACAATAACTCATCGATATTGCACATGCACAATGGATTCAACACCTTTGTCGCCGTTTAAGTTGAAAAGTAATTACTTTCAATTGATTTAAAACATGGCTTGTCTTCGATTTATTCTTTGAGCAACAAATGTCACTGTCAAATGTGCCAACTAAAAGTTTCAATTCAAATTGTGACACCTTCGTTGATGGTTGTATTAAGTTAGTTTTGGATGTTTTTCGTATTATTCAATTAAACTTTATATTAGTAACTTCTTATAGGCTCAAAGTTTTCAATACATTACGACAAACAAAGTGAGTACCAAAAGTTTTTTCCAGTCTTGTTTTTGTTAAAAATAAGATCGCGCATATAAAATTTATGGAAGATATCAAAAGATTTTTTTAAATATACAATCATGTTCTTAAGAAATGTGTCTATGCTAAAATATAGTTGTTTTTATGTATGATATTCCTTTCGCATTTCGTGAGTTTTTTTAATTACAAACATACTTTGCCTATTTTCTGAATTATGGTTATCTTCGACTATAATAAAATTAAAAAAAAAGACATACCACTCCATTTTTGTAATTCACCTCTCGCCTCATTCTTTTCATACAATAATTTTATTAGTTAATCAAAAAAAGTTTTATAAACTACTTCATTTTAGGTTTGTTAAGAAAACTTAAGATGGCACACTCCTCGGAGAGCAAAGGCTTAAAAAGCGGAGCAATTGATTTTGTTGCAGGATCACTTGGTATTTATTGTTCCCTTGCATTTGACTTTTAATACAATCGACTTCAAATATGTTTAGATTTACTAAAAATAAAACACATTTCTTATAATAAAGTACTTATTACATAAAACACTTATTTAGATTTGATCTATAACATATTGAGCTTATTCTTAGCTCCTGCTGTTTTATTACAAATATTTTTTATTTATATACAATTGTTAATAACTTTGTATTCTTATATTGTGATTATATGTGTTTTTCAATTATATTTATAAAAATATAATAATTTGATCCAGGTGGTGTAGCAGTTGTTTATGTTGGGCAACCATTGGATACAGTGAAAGTAAAGATGCAAACGTTCCCTCACCTATATAAAGGCATGTATGATTGTTTAAAACAGACACTCAGAAATGATGGCATAATCCGAGGGCTATATGCAGGGACCACACCAGCGATAATGGCCAATGTTGCAGAGAACTCTGTACTTTTTGCAGCATATGGCTATTGTCAAAAGTTTGTTTGTCATGTTACAGGTACCGAGGTAAACATTTTGTTTTGATTTTTTTATGAATGAGGGCTATATCTTTACTTCTATACTAATATTATAAAAAGAAAAGATTTGTATTTTTGTATGTCTTTCATCAGGATTTCAGTAATTCATTCACCATTAGAAAGTTAATTTATCTGTGTGTAATATAGGCTATTTGTATTATTATTTTTAATTTCATAGACAAATTTGTAAGCAAATGCTAGTTAGCAATATGTAATTATGTGTGAAACAGCATTGAATGCACTAGCTGATGGGCTTAAATCTTACTTCTTACTTATACTTATAATATTATAAAGGCAAAAGTTTAGATGGATGGATTTATGTTTGTTAGAGTTTGTAGCTTAAACGGCTGAACGGATCTTGATGAAATTTGGCATGGACATAGAGCATAGCCTAGAAGAATACATAGGCTACTCACTTTTGTTTTTTTAATTTAACTTTTTAATTCCACATGGACGGAGGCGCAGGCGAAAGCTAGCAGAAAATAATTTCTTCATCATTCTATGGTGTGCTTTTAATGATTGCTAATTATTCTGAAAGGGTTGTCAGGAAAAATGGGTATCAGAACCAATTCAAATCATGTATTATCCTAATTTTTAAATTCTTGATGGAGTGGATTTGTTAAATTTAAATGTTGGCTGTAATTGAAAAAGGGCCCATTGTATAAGTCATTAACCTTTTTGCTTTGATTAATTATTAGGTGTAATATGTATGAGCGTGTATTGTAATTTACAGGTCAAAGTTTGTTAATAGTTTAATTAAGTATTCATTCTCATTTTACTTTAAGTCCAAGATAAAGTACGATTTTTTTATTATAAAGGGAAATTATAGATTCTGTTAATAATTTACAAAGCGAAACATAATTGCATCACACATGTTTCCTGTCATTTGATAAAAAAGTCAATATTTTAGAGCACGGACCAACTTTCTATGATGGGTAATGCAACTGCGGGATTCCTGGCCGCTTTCTTCTCGTCATTTACTTTGTGTCCCACTGAACTGATCAAGTGCCAACTTCAAGCCATGCGAGAGGTCAACATGCAAGGCTCCCAAACAGCTGTATGATGAATTTTGGGTATTTTATTATACATGTCATTATTATGAGTTGTTTTAAGCACAATTTTTCCTGATAAATTATTCTATGCTAATGTTAAATAGAGGCTAAATATATTTTTGTCTTTACATGTAAGGAATAAACTCGAAAATTACTCAATCGATTTTAAAAAATCTTTTACTGTTAGAAAGCTTCATTGGCACTGGATAACATTTTTTTTTAATATCGCTCAGACGAAGTCGCGATCAAAAGCTAGTCCGAACCTGGTTACTAGCAGTTATAAATGTGGTCCTATATTGAGATTACAAATTAAATAACTCGGAAGTATGACCACGTGCTTATCAAGAAGTATTTATCATTAGATAAACTTTTGAAGTCCATTTTTATTGGCATTGAGTGTACCCTTAATTTTCGTATTGGGAACAGATTAATCTATCCAAGTATGTTATAAAATAAAAGTAAAGTAAAAGTACAAGAACCTTTAAATTACTTGTTAAGCTTAATTTTATTAAACTAAATACACACTATCAGTACCTTGAGATAAATGTACGCGATATCAAGGGCAACAGATTGTAACTAATAGTCGTATTACTTATAGATAACGCCGCTACAGCTGTCTCAACAGATATTCAAACAATATGGGATACAAGGTCTCTTCAGAGGTCTGGTGCCGACCATCATGAGGGAGATGCCAGGATATTTCTTCTTTTTCGGTGGATATGAAGGTTCGAAAGTCTTTGTTAGAAAATAACCCATCGACTCTACCGATATTTGATTACTATTGATGTAGGCTAATATAAAAAAAATTAAAAACTACTCGGCCGTTTTAAAAAAGTCACCATTATAAAGCTAAATTATATCACTGTAACATAGTCTAGTTATATTAATAAAAAGTTATTTCACGCGGATGAAGTCGCGACCGAAATCTAGTAGTAATATGTATATAGACAATAATTGTATTTCTGATTTGTTTCATTAATTCATAATTTTGGTCCTACTCTCATATGGCTATTGTCTATATCTTGACAATAATTTAAATTACTAGCTTAGGCTCGCGACTCTGTCCGCTTAGAATTAAAAAAAGCAAGTAACCTGTGTTCTATGCTATCTACATGTACGCCAAATTTTATCAAGATCTGCTTCACCGAATAGGCTAGAAACTCTAACAAACATCCATCCATCCATCTAAACTTTCGCATTTATAATATTGGAGAAAATTTATTTTAAAATTTTTAAGTATTTCAACACCTGTATTTTTTATTTAAGGTACAAGAGAATTATTAGCGAAGCCAGGACAGTCAAAGGATGATATAGGCTTTGTTAGAACAATGATCGCGGGCGCAGTGGGCGGCTGTGTTCTGTGGACTGTCATCTTTCCTTCTGACGTCATCAAGTCACGTGTACAGATATCAAACAAAAAATTAAAGTTCCTAACAGTCGGATATGAGATTGTAAAGAATGAAGGTAAGTTGTACTTAAAATTGTAATCATCATTGCCCAGGGGAGGGTTAGGGGAAAGCAGCTGTCTAGAAGGGATAGAGGATGGAAGTATTAATTTAAAAAAAAAATGGTATAAGATCATATTGAAAACTAATGTAACTCATGTCTCATCCGAAATAAAATCTTCGCAATTCAGTTTTCGATGTAAAGATAAGCTAATTTTGACTTTCTCAGTCTTCACATCGAAACTAATGAAAATTTTAAGCCCCTTCGAAAAATTTACTTTAATCACAAACAGCAAAACTATAGAATTGTAAATCCTTTGATGATCTAATTTAAATGAATCCTTAAAACTTAAGTATAACGTTTATTTTGGATTGATTGTTTATCAGAATAGCGTAGACAATTCATGCTTACGTTATACTGATAACCTTTCAAGAGATAAAGTAGAAGTATTTTAATGTCATACCATATTTAGCTAAGTCTAGTTTATATATCAAGGCTGGAAAAGTGGTTATATACGCATTAACCGGTTTCGCGTGCATTTCTCAGATAAATCTAAACGCTTGTAACAATCTTGGATTAAATTAAAGATAATTTAATCCCGATCATTATAAATCATCCTAATATTATAAATGCGAAAGTTTAGATGGATGGATGGATGTTTGTTAGAGCCTAAACTTCTGTACGGATTTCGATGAA